CGCCTGGCCTCCCGACTGGATCGGTTACACCCAGATCGGGCAACCCCGGAGGCCCCGGGCACCGAGACGTACGAGCCGGCCAGAGGGTTCTTTCCAGAGGACCCGGTGTACGCCCGAAACTACGGCCGGGGGCCTCAATGGATCCCAGCCCGAGTCATACGGGTCAAGGGCCCCCGTTCATACGAGGTCTCCAGCGAGGACGGCCAGATCCTCCACCGGCACATAGATCAGCTGCGCCGTCGCACGCTACAGCTGGACCCTGAGGATCCGGACGAGGACCCAGAGCCTGCCACATCGGCCCCACTCCCGGCACCGGATCCACAGCCGCCTCTCCGTGAGGAACCCGAGGCACCTCACACCGTGGTGCCAGCCTGTCCTGCCTCCTCGGCGCCCTCGTCGGTCCCAGGCCCCTCGGCTCCCAGGGCCCCCGAGACCGAACCCATCGCTACCCCGGAGCCCCGCCGCTCGACGCGCCCCAAGAAGCCACCCGCCTACTTGAAGGACTTCGTCTGTGGGTGCCTTCTGAACCAAGGGGGGAGGGGTGTAATGTATTCAGCCTGACATGCCCGGACTTGCCCGGGCTGGCCAGGCACAACTCGTCAATAGCGTCATGTCCAAAGACAATGGGTCCTTAGGATCCTAGCCGGCCCAATCAAAGGGCCAGCTTCTCAGCCGGGAGACCAATGGTCGCCCGGTTACTGTAAATAGCCTATCGGGAGTAGGGGGTGTGTTTAGGTGTACTTGGTGGCGGGTTTTCTGAACATATATAACCAGCCTGCGAGCTGGTCCCTTCGTCTTTGTCCTGAACTAAATAAAGGTATGCTTAGCTGAAATCACTCTCCGTCTGCATACTTTTCACCCACCTTCACTTCTTCCCTCCCCCTCCCCCTCCCCTTGGCTTTTCTCAGTTCTTTGGCTGCCATTCCAGATTTTCTCAGTGTTCAAGTCGAAGCAATTTAAGTCCACAACAAAACAGCATCCAAATAACCCTCAGCAACAGCAGGCTGAAATCAGGCTGACCACTGAAGGGAGGTAATGTAGAGCGATTCTGCATTGGCTTTTCCCTCCATTGTTTTACCAAAGGTGCAGCTCAAAGCCACATTCAAATACACCGGGGCAACACCGTACTGACTGCAAAGTCATCCCTGAATGGCTGTAAATCTATGCAGAAGGTACCATAAAATCCGATGATCAAAGAAAGTGAAAGCAGCATGCAGTGTAGAGGGGAATTTCTGTTCCAATGTGGGTTTGGTAGAACAACAGAGGGAAAAGCCAATGCAGAATCGCCCGTAATGCAGAATGGGGAAAAGCCCGGAATAAAAAGAAGGTTGAATTCGATTTTAGACCAGAATTGCTTGGAGGACACCGCACTGAACATTAATTAAAAGGAGAGTGCAGAAAGGGCCTTTCTCTTTCTTTCTCCCCTTCTTACTTTCTGTCTCCATCACTCTCCCCACTGCCAACTAACACTTTCTCTCTGTTGCTGCCCCCACCACATCACTATTTTTCTCTTTCTGCTCCCCCACTCCATCACTCGGTCTCTTTCTGCCACCCCCACCCTATTACTCTCTTTCTAACTTAACAGAGGAAACTTTCCTGGCCAACCCAGCAACTTCCTGCCCAACAGTAACAACAGTGGCAGCAACTCCCCTGCCCGCCCAGCAGCTCCCCCTACATTAATGATGCCAATGACTCTCCCAGCCACTCCCCCCACGCTCAGCAGCTTCCTTCAGCTTCCTTCAGCTCCCTATAGCTTCCCCTCCCCACACAAACCAACAGTGGTGGCAACTCTCATGCCCACCTGCACCACAGCTCCCCCCCCCATGCACACCAACAGTAGTAGTGTCTCTACTGGTGTTATGTACGTGGACCGCCACCAGGGGTCCACAGCAAAGACAGGAGCTTGACTCCTGGAACAATAGAAACCTCGGATCCTGGTTCCCCCCAGCCCCAACCAATAGCCACTTTGACGGGACATTTAAACCCTCCAATGGGAATAGGGTGTGCTGGGTGGATATGTATATAGTTGGCCCTGTCAGGCCATTAGAGTTAGTCTTTGTCTGTGTTAAGTACAATAAACATGTGCTAAGGCATGTTGTCATCCGAGTCCTCCATGCGGCGAACCCAATACTTTTCAACTGGCACCTCCTGCCGCTGCAAAAGTGCCAGCAACCTCCTGGCCCGCCCGCCTACAGCTTTGCCACCTCAGCACAGGTACAGACAAACTTCCCAATGCATTGCTTTCATGTTTTTAGATTTTTCTGCAAACCTGAGCAGGAAAATCTGTTTAGTGTGAGTGTGGTCCTCCAATCCACAAATTTAGATATCCACAGATGGGGGCCACACGTCATTATTTTATATAAATAAATATGCAGTGGCAGTGCCCCAGCCACAAGGGACACTGGGACATGTAACTCCATGACACCCAGTGCCCACACTCAGTTGGAGCTTAAAGATATTGGAGACTTAGGGACAAATTTCATTCACTTTCCAATTGTGCTTGGAGATATTTCTAGATATGTGGAAACCTTTTATTTATGCTTATCTGTAGACTTGCCACCACTGTTACATTTTGGTTTTTTATTTCCTTCTGTTTGGGGAAATTAAGATTAATAAATATTATTTTTTAAATGTTCAATTCACATTCTTAGCCTTAGTAAAACACTTGGGGAAAATGCTGCTCAATTCATAAGACAGAAAAGCTAGACAGGCTGGAATTCTAAGCCAGGCAAATAATACTTTGACAAAATTAGGTATGGTGAAATGCGTTACACCCCCACATTTAGGTTAAAGTCAACATTTGGGTTTGCACTCTGTAAATGTTCGAATAATGCTAACCACCATTTGCAAGTTAGCAGGTACACAAGGGTATGAAATCTGTATATAGACCAGGTTCACATGGTAAAATCCAGTTGGAAAGTGTATTGAAAGTGGTTTGAAAGTGGATTTATTATTGTTGTTGTTGTTGTTGTTGTTGTTTATTTATACCCCACCCTCCCCACCAAGGTAGGCTCAGTGTGTGCAATCGCAGCCACTACAAGGGTAATGTTGATGCAATAAAGACTGCTAATTCTTTAGCAGGAGATGCTCTTCAGAATTAGTAGATGGCAGCAGAAATACCCAGAGAGAAGTAGGTTACACCGGAGTAAGGATGGAGGCTCTTTGCTGGGTGGAGACAGCTACAGAATTTCCAAGCTCACATGTGGGCAGAAATGGGACTTGCAAGACCATTTCCCCACATGAGGCATTTGTGTTTTCATCCAATTATGGCAGGTGTTTGGGGGCTTGTAAGCCAAGGGTGCCCCTGTGTGGCATTAGTATGCACTTTACATGCTCAGGTCCTAAATAATTTGAGTCTCTTCTCAACTAAATAATTTGAGTCTCTTCTCAACCTTTGCAGAGTGCAACCATTTGACTCCATTGAACTTGGTTCTCAGAAACACTGGCAGGGAATAAGTAGGTTCCCATCCAGTCTCTCCCAAGCTGAGTGTTGGCCATGAGCTTTGCTTACTTGCCACCTGAGCATTAACTTTGAAAAGGCTGCAATCATACACACAGTTAGACCCGACACAGGTGCGAATGCCGGGCGGATTTAAAGGGAGCAATCAGACAGCAACATCTGGGAAGCGTTCTGCAGCCATCGGCAACCCGTGCTGCTCCACTGCATAAGCAGAGTTAAAAGTCACTGGGGGAAATCCGGTAGTAAACGGATTGTGACGGGCCACGGACGGACTTTCTTCTGTGTGATCGCGCAAGCACGTTTCTGAGCTGTTGGGATGGTCTGATCAGGCCATCTCGACTCCATGCTGTTGTCCCCCCCCTTCTCAGTATGCGCATCATCACAAACTCCATAGGGAGCCCTCAGTGTGGAGGTGCGATTCATCGATTCCTCATTTAAGTGCACAGGCAACAAATGGGGCTGGGAATCACCCACGGTTGTGTCTGATCACAGTGAAATGGGCTGCGCCCACAGCTTCAAGAAATGTGTGATCTCACAACTGCGGGTCAAATTCCTCCGGAGGGAATAGCCTCACTTCCCCCCCCCCCGCTTCATCTTGCACGTGTGACCACAACCGAAGTATCATATTTTCAAGGATAGATACAGGTACTGCAATATCACAGGTCTGACAATGTAACACTTAAGAAAATGTGTTTTAAAAATTATTAATTAAATGGTTTCCTTAAAGCCATTGCTTTAACAATGATGTTTTTGGTAAGAAAGGTTTTGACCTCACTAGAAACTCGAAAGGTCATGAAAAAATAAGTCTGTTTCTGTTACCATCTCCTCCTTGTCTTGGATCACCGCCAGCTGAGCCCCCTTCTCTGAGCAGTCATGTTGGGACTCGTTCCAGGATTTAAAAGCCTTTGATAGCCAGTAGCATTTGTCCTGGTGGTGGTGCCAGTGTGGAGGGCAGATTTGGCAAGTGGAATTCACTGGAGAGGGAGAAAGACATCTCAGTAATGTTTCTAACTAATCTCCCATTTGTAATGAGCAAAGATTCTAGCCAGCAAGTGTAGGAATCTCTCTGCGCTTTCCAGCTAGTTATTTGCCTGCTGAGGCTAAGTAAGAACACAGGAACATAAGAGAAGCCATATTGAATCAGGCTAATGGCCCATCCAGTCCAACACTCGCTTGTGTCGGGGCAAATGGGGCTGCGCCTCGAGGCAGCTCTAGTGTGAAATCGCCCTCTGTGTCATACAGTGGCCAAAATCCAGGTGCCATCAGGAGGTCCACCAGCAGGGCCAGAATTCTAGCTGGTGGTTGGGGTTTTCATTTATATTTTCATTTATATTATTTATAGTTCGCCTTTCTCACTTGGACTGAAGGTGGATTACATAGAGTGAGTCAATACAATCAACAAGATGGACATGCATAAGAGAACATAAGAACATAAGAGAAGCTGGATCAGGCCAATGGCCCATCCAGTCCAACACTCTGTGTCACACAGTGGCCAAAAATACCAGGTGCCATCAGGAGGTCCAGCAGTGGGGCCAGGACACTAGAAGCCCTCCCACGGTTGCCCCCCCCAAGTACCAAGAATACAGAGCATCACCTGCTCCAGACTGAGAGTTCCTATCTATACCTTGTGGTTAATAGCCACTGATGGACCTCCACTCCATATGCTTATCCAATTCCCTCATAAGAACAATGCAATAAACAATGAAATAGGATTTGGGTTGTAGATCCAACCAGAAGTCTAAAAAAACAGAACTGAACCAAAAGAATAGGTCTTAACATGACACATTAAACAATGCAAAATTCCATAGTAGGACCCTGTTTCAACAATATACACAGTAGTATAGACCACAGTTCTAATAATTTTATAAATAACATTGTGAATCATTTAACACAGCACAAGTCTATTGCCTGAGTAGAAAAGCCCTCTTTGAATAATTCAGTTTTGCATAGTTTGTGGAAAGCCAGGAGAGTGGGAGCTGGCCTCCTCGGGCTGGCCATTCCATGAGTTGGGGGCCGCAACAGAGAAGGCACATGTACATGCAGTTGTTGATTTTGCCCATTTGCAGGTTGGCACTTGTAGAAGATCCTGCTCAGATGAGTGAAGCTGTCATGGAGGACACTTGGCAGCCCTAGCCCATTCAGTTCCTCACCAGTATCCATGACCACTGGGTGCTCATCCTAACCATCAGCACAACATGAGCATATAATGTCACTTCCCAAGTGATGCCAAGTGAGCCAGGCCCAGCAGATTCTTCCACCCACCCCCCCATTAGTATTCTGGAATCAGCAGCCATTTTAAATTCAACACCTGTGTGCTGGAGTTTGAGGGAATCAGGTCTCCAACTATAGCAGATCTCCTGCCTTCCACCTCTGCTGCCAGTTGCTGCTGGGTACAGCTTCAGAACAAATTGGGGAGGGGGATTACAGTATGCTGTGATGTCACAGCACAGTATGCTGTGATGTCAATGTGTGATGTCACTAGGAAGTGACATCACACATTGCTGTGACATTCTAGCAATCCCACAAATTTCTATGATAAAACCATAGAGATTTGGGGGATTGCTAGAGTGTCACTGTGATGTGTGATGTCATTTCTGGTTACATGACTGGAAGTGGCATCACACAGCATCACACAATGCAAGCAGCGCTTAGCCCACTCCTAAAAAGCTTCACAGCATTATCAGCCCTGGGCTGGCAACCCGAGTTGGATTCACACACACTTATTACCTCACCTCCATTTTCCCAGTACAAATGTGTACACACTCGAGGCAAGCACTAAGCAACACATTTTAAGATGTTAAATAACTAAATGGAAATGGGAAAACCAGACTGTGAAGGGCAGAAATGTGCAGTTATTCATAACTGTCTGCCTCAAATACCAGTGGTCTGTCTCACTGAAATCCAAAAATCTCAATAGAATTTGAAAGGCTGCGGTCACACGGAGCATTAGCCACACTACAGAGACGGAAGATAGGCGGATTTTCTGGGCGCGATCACACCGCAATATCTGGGAAGCGTAGAGCTCCCGTGGCTAACCCGAGGCTTCCCGCTGAAGATGCGGCGTAAAAAACTAGTACCTCCAAGGTACTAGTTTCCGGAAACCGCAGGGCAAGGGCGGGCATCTGATCGCGTTTCCGATGGTAGTTTGTGGCATCCGGCACCCGACCATGTTCCGTCACACAAAGGTTTTTTTTCCCCAAGTCGCCACAGGATGCGCACAAGCACCCAACAGCGCATGCACACACTTCATTTTTTAAAAAAACAACCCCGTTTTCCACAGCAGCGGCGCCTAGCCATTGCTGCTGTGATCGCACTGCGCCACTTCTTTGCTGCGCCACAGGATTGCCGTGTGATCGGCACCAATGATTATTAACAGAGGCGGGGCATCACTTCTGGGTTTTGCTGGAAGTGATGTCACACCATCACTGATGGCTGCCCCCTCATGTCCCACCCCACCTGGTCTCCTGCTGTTTGCCATGCTCAGCCTGGCAACCCTATACTGGGCAGAGGTTCCACCACCAGAATCTGTGGAAACATGGATGTTGGTTTTGGGAGGATCCAGACAGCACTGAAGGACCTGCTAGGTTAGGCCCATAGCTTTTGTTTAGGACAACAGACAAAACAAGGGTTGTGCATATCTATGTGTTGTAGTAATGCTCTCAAACAGCCGTAGTCAAATAGTACTGTCTGAACTATCAACTCAGTTTATTTTCACTGAGACAGGAGTGTACACATTCTTAAAATTAAGTATTTTATTGCTGTTACTCTGGACACAACTATAGGAGTTTATTAGGCAGATATACTGCTTACTTACACCTGACCTAGATAGCCCATTGCTAGCCCGATCTTGTCAGATCTCAGAAGCTAAGCAGGGACGGCAGGATATAAATCAAATAAGCAACAACAATAATAAAGGGTCAGTCCTGGCTAGTATTTGGATGGAAGACCTCCAAGGAATACCAGAGTTGTGACATGGAGACAGGCAATGGCAAACCACTTACAAATGTCTCGCTTTGAAAACCCTACAGGGTTGCCATAAGTCAGCTGTGACATGACAGCAAATATTATATATATAGCTTATGTGCCAGTTTGTTTAAGATAATGCAAACTGAAACAGACTACAGCCCTCTAGAGATTTAGCATGGAACATACACAACATAAACCATGATATTTCAGGTGGGTAGCCGTGTTGGTTTGAAGCAGCAGAACAAAATTTAAGTCCAATGGCACCTTTAGGACTAACAAAGTCTTATTCCTTGTATAATCTCTTGTGTGCATGCATACGTCTTCAGATACATAGTATCTGAACATAAGTATCTGAAGAAGTGTGCACGCACATGAACGCTTATACCAGGAATACAACTTCTTTGATCTTAACGGTGCCATTGGACTCAAATGTGATATTTCAGAGCAGGTTGGCAGAGTGAACAGTACACAAATGAAGCATTTTCCTGCTTGTTACTACTTGAATAAACCACTGACATTTCATAGCACTTATATAAGCTCTTGTAACTTCAACCTTTTTCCTTATCTAAGAGATCAACAAAACAAAGGTACAAGTTTATTCATTTTACCTAAAGAGTTGCCTTGGCTTTGATTGCAGAAACGGCTTCGTAGAAAAGACTGGACATTGTCTGATGAGCAATTGCTTTTCACTGGACAAGAGCCAACCCCAATTTTCCTTTTCTCAGCCTCCAACTGCAACACTTAAAAAAAAAAAAAGACTGTAAAGGGGATTCCCCTTGAAATCTCCTTTTTTCATAATAGCTGCATCTGGATCAGTGAAGGATAAGGACATAAGAGCATAAGAGAAGCCACATTGGATCAGGCCAATGGACCATCCAGTCCAACCCTCTGTGTCACACAGTGGCCAAAACCCAGGTGCCATCAGGAGGTCCACCATTGGGTGTAGAAATCCACACACACCCCCCGCTGTTGCTCCCCAAGCACCAAGAATATAGAGCATCACTGCCCCACACATGGTGTTCTATCTATGCCTTGGGGCCAATAGCCACTAATGGATCCATGCTCCAGATGTTTATCCAATCCCCTCCTGAAGCTGTTTATTCTTGCAGCTGCCACCACTTCCTGTGGCAGTGAATTCCACCTGTTAATTACTCTTTGGGTGCGTTCAGACAGGGCATTTGCAACGGTATAGGTGCCGGTTGGAATCGGTGTACTTACCGGTGTTCACACGGCAAACATCTGCCTTCTGTCCCTAACGGTTGCAAAGAGCTTTAAACCACTGTATTCTGCCACTAGGTCCCCAAGTGGTGGTATCCTGAGTGCAACGGTTGTAATCGCTTTACCCCCCGTCTGATCGCTCTCCACTGTTGTAGAGCCACTTCCGTTCGGAAGCCCAAGTCTTCCGATTTTTGCCCGCCATTTTTTTTTTAGGTCGGTGATATGCGCTTGGATGAAGCTTCGCCCCGGCGTTTGTTTTTTTAAAAATAAAAGGTCCTTAGTTTAAGGTTTTGGAGGACTCCGGGACCTCAGGGAGGCCAGTTTGGTATTTAAACTTTAAAGGTAAGTCCTTTTTTCAGGGCATGCTTTTCGGGACGGGGTGTTTTGCGCATGCGCGAAGATTGCCATTCTGTGGATGGCTGCCTATGCGCATGCGCAAACTGAATTAAAACAAAAAACAAAAAAACCGCTGACGCCCGCTGTGTGTGAACGGGCATACAGTGATGGGCTCTGCAGACAGGAGGTAAGTGTGATCGTGTTTCAGCCGGCATAAACTGCACCGGTTCCAACCGGTATAGTTTATGCCGGCTGAAACACCCCATCTGAACGCACCCTTTGTGTGAAGAAGAACTTCCTTTCATCTGTTCTAAGCCTACTGCTCATTAATGTCATTGAGAGCACACAAGTTCTTGTATTGTGTGGAAAAGTATTAACTGGAAACAATGGAGTCTGTTTCACCAGAGAGTTTCGTGCTTTCAGAACTCTTGAGAGCTATCGCAGAGCCCCTGAGACACCCCAGTGGAACCTCTTTATTTCTGTGATGCGGAGAAAGATTAAGCTGCAAAAGGTCCCCATCTAAACTCTGTATTGTAAATATCAACAAACACTGCTTGAAAATCCACCTTGAGTCTTAATGAGAAAAATGAGCTATAAACGACATAATTAAATTACATATATAAAATGCCCTAGGTTTGCTGCAGAAGATTATGCATCTTCAAAGCACAGCAAATATGCATGTTGCATGTTAGAACTTTACTCCAAAAAATTACTGAAAGAGAATGAGAAGAAATAATTGCCAAAGATCTTTCTATCTTGCCAATCTATTATTTTGCCCTACGCATGTCTAATAGTATTATATTCATGTTTCAACGTGAACAAGTGAATTACTGGAAAAGATTAAAGATAGTCAAATCAATATTTTCTTCTTGAGTAGTTAACTTAGTCACAGGAAAGAATTCTGAAAAGGGTCTGTAGAAACAATTTTGAATGTAGCTATTAATTTGAATCAATATTTTGAGAGCATTTGCCAAATCCCGGAGTCAACCAGTAATTCTACCAGATATATGGAGCAGGAAAACACTAAGCATACAAGTTAGATTCAAGTCCAGTAGCACCTTAGAGCATTAAGATTTTCGGGGTATAACCTTTCAAGAGTCAAAGCTTCCTTCTTCAGGTACAAGTAGGCATGGAAATCTCTGAACACAGAGATCCCAGTTTAACCATGGCTTGTCCCTCTCTTAAGTTATGTAGAGAAGGAAATGTGTGAATTCATATATAATGCAGAACCAAGGTTTAATTAAAGTAGCCATAGTTGATTGGTCACCTGAACCTGTGGCACCACACTATACATGGTTAGTAGTGGTATCTCAAACCAGGAGCTGTTCAAGATATTAAACTGTTCTTTTTACCAGAAAGACTTTTGTATGTTTTTATTTCATGAATGAATGCATTATCCTGGTTTAATGCCACACACCCACACCCCGCTCCAAGCCAACACTCCTTGCCAGCCCAGCCTATAGAGTTGTCTGGCAAGAACAGCTCAAAAGCTAAAACCTTCAACCAGTTCTCACTAGCTCCAGGCATCTCCCTGCCCTGAGCTCTGAGTCTGCCTTGAAACAAATGCCTCTCTCCACCCCTTCCTCAACTCTTGGTGCATCTAAATGATACATATAATGACGAATGCTTTTGAATAATACTGATGTATAATCTGAAAAGTATCAAGGAGCAAACAGCTGAACTGAGAAAGCTATTTTAATAAATATTGAAGTTTTATAGTAAAAAAAATGATACATGTAATGTGAGACATGACGGAGTTCCCTGACCAATCTCACAGTCACACATACTCTCAGGGACTCGATTTAATTGTAGTGGTTAAGAGTGTGTACTCTAATCTGGAAGAACCGGGTTTGATTCCCCACTCTGCCACATGCAGCTGCTGGTGTGACCTTGGGTCAGTCACAAGTTCTTTCAGAGCTGTTCTCTCAAGGGCAGTTCCTGAGAGAGCTCTCTCAGCCCCACCTACCTCACAGGGTGTCTGTTGTGGGGAGGGGAAAGGAAAGGGATTGTAAATCGCTCTGAGACTCCTTCGGGTAGTGAAGGGCAGGGTATAAATCCAATTAGAATGATAAAAGGGTTGGAACACTTTCCCTATGAGGAAAGGTTAAAGCGCTTAGGGCTCTTTAGCTTGGAGAAACGACGACTGAGGGGTGACATGATTGAGGTTTATAAGATTATGCATGGGATAGAGCAGGTAGAGAAAGAGGTACTTTTCTCCCTTTCTCACAATACAAGAACTTGTGGGCACTCAGTGAAATTGCTGAGCAGTTGGGTTAGAACAGATAAAATGAAATCCTTCTTCACCCAAAGAGTGATTAAGAAGGAGAAGAGTGGGGAATCAAACCCGGTTCTCCCAGATTAGAGTCCACAAACTTAACCAATACACCAAACTGGCTCTCCATTAATTCCATTAATACATGGAATTCACTGCCACAAGAGGTGGTGGCGGCTACAAGCATGGACAGCTTCAAAAGGGAATTAGATAAACATATGGAGCAGAGGTCCATCAGTGGCTATTAGCCACAAGGTATAGATAGGAACTCTCAGTCTGGGGCAAGTGATGCTTTGTATTCTTGGTGCTTGAGGGAGGGCAACAGTGGGAGGGTTTCTAGTGTCCTGGCCCCACTGCTGGACCTCCCAATAGCACCTGGTATTTTTGGCCACTATGTGACAGAGTGTTGGACCGGATGGGCCATTGGCCTAATCCAACATTGGCTTCTCTTTTCTTCTTCTTCCTCTTCTTCCTCTTCTTCATTGGAATTCCTCTGGATATCAAAGAAATGATATACTACAATCATATTGAAGCTAATAAAGCATTCCTTACCACATTAAAACAGTGGGATTGTAAATTTCTCTCATGGTTTGAACATATCAATACAATTCAAGCCTTCATTTTACCAAAGTTTTTATACTACTTTAGAGCATTACCAATTAGTATATCACCCACACTCTTGAAAGTTTGGCAGGGGAACATGAATAACTTTATCTGGCAATACAAGCAACCTAGAGTAAGTTTTCAGACAATACGTAAGCTTAGAACACAAGGGGGTTAGCAATTCCCAACCTCTATCTATATTATTCTGCAGCTAATTTATCAAACCTAGCTAGACAATACCATACTTCCTATGAGGCAGATCGGAAATGGATTGAAGACACCTATCTAAGATCAGACTCTTTCAGGGAAGCTCTATGGCAGTCTCCTAATATTAGACAACATAAATACACTGATCATCTCTTTTTAAAGGCAACCCTTTCCATCTGGGACAGGTATACAAACCAATTGGTTCAACCATGATCACCTATCACCAGTTTTTTGAACCAGTCATGGTTAAAACCCGGTTGTGAACCAGGGTCCTTCTTAAAGTGGAGGACTGCAAATTTGACAAGATTTATGGATATTTCGAAACAAGGTAAGTTCTTAGAGAAAGCTGTATTAGAGACCATGGGGAAAATTAGCTTAACATGGTTTGAATATTTTCAAATATTGCATTTATTTCATTCCAGGAAAGACAATATCCCTTTTGATAAACCATTCAGTTACTCTGAAAGGCTTCTAGTATCCAAAATATTTTTAAGGAAAGGGTGTATGTGGCAGCAAAGTTTGCATCTTCTAACATTGCATATGCCATTAAATGCCAACAATACCCTTCAGTTCTCTACATAGGGCAAACAGGTCAAACCCTACACCAAAGGATAGAAGTATACAAGTCTGACATCAAGAATCACAAGACTGAGAAACCGGTAAGGGAACACTTCAACCTTACAAGACATTCAATGGGGGACCTCAAAGTAGCTTTTTTATTGCAAAGAAATTTCAGAAACAGGCTAGAATGGGAGATTGCTGGGTTAGAAATTATTACAACACTCAGGACAATAGAACCACCAGGACTTAACAGGGATATCGCCTTTTTATCTCACAACATATAGGAATGTCATTTAGTTCTTGCATCTGTTTGTAAACTCTTTTATTATGCTATATGCTAATGTGTTGCTATTCACAAGTTTTACTCACTGTCTTAATCCAATCTTTTTTTAATAATATTTTTTTTATTTTATCACAAATCAACATACAAAACAAACAAAGACACACAAACTTATATTACATACAGATTGGGGGTCTTCTGAATCTATATAATAATCATCTATTCAATAACTTCTTACAGTATCCAGTTGGTTATTAAAATATATACTATAAAGCAAAACATCTTTTATCCATAAAGTCTGCATATATTTGTAGATAATATCTATCTATCTAATATATGTTATGGAGTTGTATAGTTCATTTGTTGTAGTCTAATCCAATCTTATTGCTCAGTTACTCATGCATATTGACTCTAATCAGCCCTTCATGGCAACAACCCGCCCCCCACCCTCTACCTATACGTAACGGTTGGTGACCTCTGTTTCAATGTATCTGAAGAAGTGTGCATGCACACAAAAGCTTTTACCAGAAATAAAACTTTTTTGGTCTTAAAGGTGCCACTGGACTCAAACATTACCCGTGTTCTGGTAGATTCCATAGGAGATACTGCATGGTGGGATTCTTTTTAGTTTTCATTCAGAAGAAACCTTTTCCAGATACAATGTGAATAAGTGGGACTCAGATATGAACAGGTGTGCTTCAGGATCTTTACCTGACCAGAAGGTTCACATACCACAGGGAGAAAGTGAATGGGTGATAGATAGCTTTCGGATCCTGCATTCAAGGTCACAATTCAATGTATGTAATATATGACCACAGCTCTCTAAAATATATGGTGTCCCCATTTTCTTCAAGGAACAAAGCAATGAGAAAGACCATGAATCCCAGTGTGCACAAGGATTTTGACTTCATATGACTGGATTGGCCATTCAATGGGTCAAATATTTAAAACTCTGCCATCCTTGGTCCAGCTAGAGAACTAATTCTTTTAGTCATATCAGCCACTGCCCACAGGCACTTCCTATCACCCACCACAAAAGCATTTCCACTCATTTTCATAGAAAACTAGTGCTAAAAATAAGGGCAGAATACCAACAAGATCATACCTAGCTTCCTTTGTGGGACAGCGGAAACCAGCTTCTTAGAAAATGGACTTGATCAGAAATTGCTCGTTGCTTTTTTTTTTTAAGGTACAAATGTTCCATTCCTCATTTCATGTTAAGAGAGGGAAGACAGGAATGGTAAACACAAAAAGCACAAGTTCGTGCAAATAAAAATTCCTCTGTTACTCACCCAGGGCGATCACAACAGCCACCAGGATGACAATCCCAAAGCATGCGACCCATAGCATGATCTGCTGCCAGCGGGGATTTTGGGGTGCATCTGCAAAGAGTGACAGACAGTTGATGAGAACAGAAGAATGCAAGACGTTTGCCTCCTGATAATTGATCACGTGTTGAAGAATTAGGCTTGCCAAGTCCCCCCAGGGGGTGGGGAAACCCCCGCCCCAGAGGCCCGTTCCCTGCTGCTGGCGGATCGGGCCCCGGGGGGAACTCCACCCCGACATGCACGTCGCCCGGAAGTGACGCGGGCACGCCAGGCACTCTGGGGGCAGGGCCACGGTCATCCGAGGGAAAACTCTATTGTTTCCCCTCGGATGGTCGTGGCCCCGCCCCAGCATGCCCGGCGTGCTTGCGTCACTTCCGGGTGATGTGGATGCAGTGCGTGCGCGCTTTGCGTGCGCGCTCTCCAGCTGCCAGCCGGGAGTTCCCTGCTGCGGCTCAATTCACACTTGGCAACCCTATGAAGAATGTTGCAGTGATAAACTAATACTCTGGGCGGGCCAAGGCTTTCTCCATGCAATGCTACTTGCATCCAGTTTTTTCAATAATAATTTTATCAGTTATTAAAGAAATTCAAAACCACTTTTTCTCATGGGAAAAGCTTAAGCTATTCTGGATGGGGAGAATAGCCTCGGTGAAGTGGGTAGTTTATCCAGAGATGCTGGGTTGGATCCATAGGTTGTGTTCCACTAAAGGTGGAACTTTCCTCCAGCGCAAGGGAGCCTTCCTCCAACACAAGAAGCCTCGCTCTAGCAGAAGGAAATATTCTGCTGGTGGAAACCTGCTTGTGTCGGAGGAAGGCTCCACTGTTAGGAGAAAGGAACCTTTACTTATGGCACTTCTGGCCTAATAATGCTGAAATTAGAATGTGTTAACAATAATATTACAATATTTTTCTGCATGTGAAAAAGCTGTGTGCAAAACAGATGTTATTGCCAAAAACAACAAAGAATGGCATGCTAAAAGTAATATGATACTATCATCAGCAGGACCCACTCACAGCAGAAACAAGAGAAACTGCTGCTTGGGGTACTGTTACACAACTGTGGCACCAGAGTAAGCCCAGCTCTGTTCTGTTGGTCTAGCTTCTCTTTCCTCCTTTCATTGGAATATGGCTATCTACTAGCTATAGTGAAATGCCTTTCACACCTTCATTTATATCAAGGGTATATTAATTCGGTCTAACATCTTCTCAGGATGGGGGGGGAGGTAAGGATGCCATTCTCCAGGTGGGGTCTGGTGATCCCCTGGAATTACAGCTCATCTCCAGACTACAGAGATCAGTTCCCCTGGAGAAAATGGGTGCTTTGCAGGGTGGTCTCTGTGGCATTGGACCCCACTGAGATCCCTCTCCTCTCCTCCCTAGGCCCAATCACCAAACTGAGTTTCCCAGCCTGGATCTGGCACCCCTCCCTTCCCATCCCCTGCCAGGGGGCACCTGGCAACCCTAAGGGGAGGTGTCCTTTTGCAGTCTGAAACAGGTAATGCCAGTAAGGAATGAGTCACTTCCCAAGCATCAAAGCAAACCATCACCATATTAAAGCAGATGGACCAAAACAGGAGAAGCACAGGAAGCCAGGGGCTTACTTTACAACCAGAGCCTCGTAGTAAAGGGTGCAGGAAGGCCCAGCCAGCAAAGTCAGAGCAACCTCTGTTTATTGTGCTCTGCCTTCCCTGCTGTTACCTTCCCACTGAAGTGGTACCTATTTATCTACTTGCAATTTCTTGCTTTCAAACTGCTAGGTTGGCAAGAGCTGGAACTAGAGAACAGCGTTCCGTGCGCCTTGGTGTTTAGTCATGACCACGGAAACATCTTCGGACAGCGCTGGCCCTTCGGCTTTGAAACGGAGATGAGCACCGCAACCCTAGAGTCGGATTCGACTGGCTTTTGAGCAAGGGAACCTTTACCTTTTACTTTCCCTGCACCCCTAGTGGCTGGGAACTGCGTTACAAGTTTTATTTTTTAAGTAAAAGCATTCTGTGACTGTGCCTCTCTCTACTGAGGCCCACAGGAAAGAAGAAATCCTATTTATCACCTGGCTCATCCCTCCTTCGTCAATTCACCCTAATCAATATGCTATTCACACAACTGGGTAGCCGTTTCTCCCCAGCAATCAGAGATCATTAACTTCTCACATTCCTAGCCACTTTCCAACAGAAACATTAACAGTCCCTGTTCCCGTCGGGAAATCCATTCATCCACAGAGATGCAAAATATAATGTCTTTGTCTTCTCCTGGGATTGCTAATCCTATCAGCCCCCTCTCCCCTTTTCATACCCACATTTCTTTCATAACAACGGCTCCCCTCTTCCCCACCTAACACAAAAGGAGGGTTATCAAGCAGCATTGTTGAAGGTATTAGAGTTTCAACTCAAACTTTGTTTTACATCTAAAACTCATCCTAAAAACATCTCCTGTTCATCTTTGTCTGTACCTGAGATTCTCAGGCTGCGAACCCTATTCAGCATTCCCAAAGTCATTGTTTTACCTTTTAGTTAATCTCATCAATTCTTTGTTTCAAAGGGCAATCATGTTAACATGCCCTCAGGTCCCATTTTTCCTTTAAAAAAATGCAGCCACAGCTCTGTTGCTGTGTGTCTTGTCTGGGCACCCACTAACAGGTCACCCCCAAACTTTGTTTGGGCCATTTCCCACTTTCATAGCCTCTTCTCTTTTGACTTCTGCACATCTGAAATTGTAATTATAACTCCCAACAACGTACTAATATTCCTGCTCACATCTGTATTTCTATTACTTGTGTGTATGTTGTAATGTGTGTTTTATTTCTGTATGTATGCATTTTATTAGGACCGCTTGTTTTAATAAAAACAACCCTTTGATTAAACAACTGTCTGGTTATTGAGAATTCTCTTAAAGGGAAAGATTCCTGTAAACATGGGTAGTAGATCCTTGCTTAATACCCCACCTCTCACTGAGGCCTGCCATTTAGCTATATTCCCCTAGAAACTGAAGGCAGCAATTCAGCTTCTTAAATCTATGCTGGTGGGGTAACAGAATGTATGTATTCAAAACATTTTTTTAACCTTCCTGTCCAAAACAATTACAAGATCCTTGCTCAATGACTGGGATTTTTTAATAAAAAAAATTAAAAAGCTGAATTAAATTAAATTAAAAATTAAAAAGCTGAATCAGGATGAAATTCACTAAAATGAAAGGAAAGGTGAGAAAACTACATTTTGGGTTAATGTATGTTCAAGATTAAGCTGTAGAAATTGGAAAGGAAAAAATTCAGGAGATATATCTGTAATATTCAAACCATTTTAAATCACAAAAAATGTAAAACTGCCTCAACTAACTGTTGAAAATGTGGTTTCTTCCATGTAGTTTTACCAGTTTCTAGAAACTATGTTTCACAGTACAGATATATTCAAAAAACAATATTTTAACTTATTGAAGTTGTTGCTGATTATGAAGTACTTGACGGATCCTATCACAAACATGACCATCAGGGATGTGATGTTGACACTGCAATTGTAAGCAAAGTTACAATGTACTAAGCCCATTGACTTCAAGGGACTCAGAAGGGAGTAAACTCTGCTTTGGATTGCAAAATCTTTCATATGCCACTAGAGTTAACTTGGCAGAAATTTGGGGACAGATGGCTGCCCCTATGCCTAAAGGTTCTTTGGAAATGCCAAATACAAGTGTAGGGTTAGGGAAGGGTGTCAGTTACGCAATACCTTTGTGAAATGCTGGCCAATGCTTACCTAATTCTGGAATGACACATATAATGATAATTATTTAAAACCTTATATTTCTAGCTATTTGGATATTTTCTAATATTATGATTTCCCCTTCTCTTCTTTGCACCATGGTAGGGGTTGGGGAATCTTTAGCTAATGTAAAATTATTGAGCCACTCAGAGGTTCTTTTGATTCCCCAAGTTCTGGCGCTAAAATTTAGGTTCTATAAACCAAAATCTGGTGTGTGTGTGTGTGTGTGTGTGTGTGTGTGTGTGTGTGAGTTCAGAGAAATAACTACAGAACTCAAGACTGAATTTTGATCATGGAATGTTGCTTGTTTTTCAGAAAAGAGTTAACCAAATGTTCACATATAGAATTGTTGCCCCTTCCAAAAAATCGAGAAAACTTCCCCCCATGTATTCCATAAGAGTGACCTGCACACTTTAACACAATGCCACATATACATGATGTTCCAAGGGTTAATTCTGTCCCAAGGCACAAGATTATTCAGGTTATGATGACAACTTTATTGAAGTCTGTCTGTCATTGCCTGTATCATTCCTTGTAAACTGATCCATGCAAAAGTAAGTCCCATGGAGTAAATGTGTTTAAGATTACAGTCTGAATCACCAAACACCCACCCCCATACTCCTCTTCAAAAGTAACATCTGAGTTTGGAATGCCAGAGCTGCTCTACCCTTCCATTTCAGAAAGTGTACAGGATATATTTTCCCCAAGTACAAATCCAATTCCTATTCATTCAACCTTAATAACCCCCCATATAGACAACCACCTGGACATGTTCATGGAAGAATCTGGTCATGGTCAATGAAGAACAGAATTGGAAGAGAACCCCCCCTAACCCATCATACTGTTGGTTTAAACTTTTACATGCTTTCTGGCCCCATGTCCACAAGGGAAACCATTTTTAACACACTATATACAATCTAGGAAAGAACACCAAAGCTCACTTACTGAGCTGCCGAGTTGGATGAAGTGGGCTTGAGGCGTGAGGTTCAGAGGGGGTCTTGAGATCAGCATAAACTATTTCCCCAGCCATGCTGAAAGCAGAACCTGCTATCTGTGACCAGGGGAAGCCGTCTGCTCTTTGAGAGTCGCATGCGAACCTGGCCATCAACACAATCCATAGCCAGGAAGTGCTGCTCACACCCGGCTGCAGAATCCCACCAACACTGAGCGGGTGGTGGAAACTTAAGTGTTTTTATCAGTCTCATTTTTCTACCCTGCCTTAGCACGAGATCTCCATCTAGACACACAAAGTTACCCCCCCATGACCAGTTCAAACCAGCTTCTTAAAAAATGGATCAGAATATCAATCTGCTTCTCTGCATTGGGAAGGCAATTGGGAAACAGCTGCACAGGAGCCCCTTGGAATGTTTATGCATACGTATTTGCTGTCCAGTTATTATTAGGGATGCCATGAATTTCACGATGAGCACTTTGGCAGGCAAAGGAACACACCATGCTTGACAACTATAATCATTTAAGTAATGGCTCAGTTAGCCTTGTCTTACCATTATCCGAGTAAAATAGCAAATGAACAGCTTTGCAGCTATGTAGCACCTGCTGTGGTGGAATTTTGTTTCCAGGTAGTGTAGAATTGCCTCGTATGTGTTTTTGTGTGTTTGCTAGGGTTGCCACCCTCCAGGCAGGGCCTGGAGATATCCTGGAATTACAACTGATATCCAGGCCACAGGGATCAGTTCTCCTGGAGAAAAAGAAGGCTGCGCTGGAGGGTGGACTGTATAGCATTATACCCAAGTGAGGTCCCTCCCCGCCCCAAATCCCACCCTACCGAGGCTCCACCTTAAAATATCCAAGCATTTCCCAACCTGGTGTTAGGAACCCTAATCTGTGCAACAGGTGAAATTGCTTCTCTCACAGAAAAGTTCTGACTTAAAGGAGAAATTTTACAAGATGATGCATCAATGGTATATATCCCCAGATAAACTATCTAAAATGTATAAAGGTAATTTTAGTTCATGTTGGAAATGCAACCATCACAAAGAGATTTTTTATTGTATGTGGTGGACTTGCAAGCAAGCCAAGAACTTTTGGATAAAAATACATTTATTAATCCAGAAGATCCTAAAGCCTAGAATACAGCTGAAAATAGAATCTTTTTTGTTAGGCTTAATGGACAATCAGTTGGAAAGAATAATAAAATCACAGAGTTGGAAGGGGCCCTACAGGCCATCTAGTCCAACCCCCTTGTTCAATGCAGGATCAGCCTAGAGCATCCCTGACATGTGTTTAACCCATTCTTGCAAGTCCTATCGTCTGCTGCCAACAGGAACAGCTCCCTGCCCTCCTCTAACTGACAGCCCTCCAAATACTTAGAGAGCCATCATGTCCCCCCCCCTCAACCTCCTCTTCTCCAGACTGAACATTCCCAAGTCCCTCAGCCTTTCCTCATAGGACTTGGGGTGCGGTCACATGGTCCTTTTGATTGGGATTCGCTGCTGTTCTTTCCCGCATTTACATTTGCTGACGATAGGCCAGTCTGCCTCCCGTGGCGAAGTCGGCTCACTCGCGCAATTTTCGCAGTTTTTCTGCCCCTTGGAAAATCAAGTGTTTTCCTTGCACTTATGCTTTGAATGCGCAATTTCACCTATCTGGACAGCCATCTATCGCAATGGTTGCGAATAGGGCCGTCTGACCGCTCTTTGTGTTTTGTTTTGTTTTTAACTTTCCAACTTTGAGCACTTGAGCAAACAAGCGCTTATCCTGCTGGGGGGGGGGGAATCCTGCCCACACCAGGAGTGAAGCTCCGGCGGGTAGCAGGCGGAAGTTGCTGGGGGGAGATGGGGGGAAGTGCTGGGCCGTCCCTCTGCCGGAGGAGGAGGCGGCGGAGGAGGCAGGGAGGATGGCGGAGACGGTGAGAGGGACTCCAGCCAGCAGCTGGTGAGAAAGAAGAGACTCAGCAGACAGTAAGGACGGCCATGAGCAGCTGCTGCTGCCACTGCTGCCGCCGGCGGATGGGGGGACAAGGGAGAGGGGGACGGCCAGGAGCCGGCACTAGCACTCTTGAGGGGTGGTGGAGACATCCAAACCCGCAGCAAAATATTCCCATTTAAATTAAAGCGGGAACAAGGCGCAATTACCATGCCGTGGAACCACAGCCTTGGTCACGGAGTTTTGTTTTTGTATATGACTACAGCAGTGAGAATGATTTACGCACAGAAATGGAAATGTCTGACAACATCTACAGTAGAAGAATGGCTGGAGAAGATATTGGACTTTGCAGCTATGGCTAAACATATAGTATTGGTTAGGGGAAAGACAATATCTTCATTTATTAGGGATTGGAAACCCCACATTAAATTTTTTGCATGAAAAAGATAAGGATGACTTGACGATTTGTGATTTTTTTGAATAAGAAACTTGTTTAAGGGGAAATAAGATGAGAGAGTTCTTGTTTGTATGTATAAGCAAGGAAAATTTTGTTATCAAAACTATATTTGTTGTAGAGAAAATCAGAAGCCTTTCACGTTCCCTTTCCCCTTTCTTTATGTTTGTTCTTTTTCTTTATGTTGATTTTTGTGTAGGGCTTTAAGTTCTTTTTGTATGTCTTCTAGTTTTATTTCTCTAATAAAAATTAAATTTCAAAATAAAAAATTAAAATGTAACACATCTGGCAGAAAGTGCAGAGTGGCGGACGGGGGGTGGGGGGATATGTCTGCTTTGAATTTTACCTTTGGCTTAAAAGTGAACCAAAGGGAAAGACTACCACAAAACCCCTGTGAGAAACCTGTCAGCAAGCTGCCATTCTGTTTTGTGTGACCTCTGTGTACATATCCTTACCCTGTTGCACCCGGCTTGTTTCTACCATCCTGCTCCTGTGCTGGAATGCATAAGATAACTACTGGAGGATGTGTGGGGGAGAAGATGCTGTACTGCTTGCCTATTGCTTATCTCATGTGAACTGCACCTGTGTTTTGCCTGGTTCCCATGGACTGGGCGCGCAACCGTTTCTTTAGCCCGCCAGCGGGAATGTTATTCATTGGATATGTATCTGTTTGAATTTCCTTTATTATGCTTGACCTACCTGTGTATCCCCAGTTCTAACAAAGAACGTGTTTGAGTATCTCTTCAACGCTTTGAAATAAATTTTGCTTTTCTTGAAAACGTGGATTTATTCTCGATGCTTGGGGATCCAACATATTGTTAGAACTCCCTTTCTCCTATCGTTCCGACTCTGGCAAGATCATGAGCGGGGCTGAGGGAGACCTACCTAAAACGGAGGGGGACTCAGGATCGGTCCCACATACCTCCGCTCCTTTGGTGTTCACGACTGCAGCCTCGCTGGAGGGTGCCGTGGGGGGAAGCTGAGGGAGACCTACCTAAAACGGAGGGGGACTCAGGATCGGTCCCACATACCTCCGCTCCTTTGGTGTTCACGACTGCAGCCTCGCTGGAGGGTGCCGTGGGGGGAACGATTCCCCGCCTGCCTGCACATCTGTCTTGGCCGCCTCCGACCCCTTCGCACTGGG